AAATATATAAATGTGGCATTAATTTAATAAAATACATCTTCATTTTATTAAAAAAATATATATAATAATTTCAGTGTGCATTTAATTGCATCTGTGCATCGAAACCATTAAAATAATCTGTCAAACTCACCCATCAAAGTTAGGGGGCGGTTATCTAACACCTGATTGGTCACCCACATTAAGGCAAAGCAAATCGATTACAGAGACTGTGATCCACAGGTTGTGAACATACTCTGTTACAGTAGGTGGCGACTCGATTCGCGTTAACCCCGCCCCCTAACATATGCGTGTTTCTATTGTGACTTTCGAGTGATTGATTTTTTTTAGAGTGCCTCTGTAAAACATGGATCCACTGAAAGCAATAAAAAGCTGTAACCCGCTGAGAAGGGCAGTCGGTGTTTGCGACAGTGCTATTTCCAAACGGCCCTCTAGGGGGAGCACAACTCAAAAATGACTTGGTGCTGTGTTAAGTTTGTCGACCCACCTCTGGAAGTTCTTATAGCCTCTATTTCTTTGATGCACTGTAAATTCTTTTTGCAAGCACTCTATTATAAGACTGGAGTTGATATCTATTACGATTGTAATGCTTCTTTAAAATATATATTGTTTTTTTTTTATTTAAGGCAGCAATGGCTATGGAGGATGTTGAAATTGGACACTGAGCGGTTATTTCTAAATTTCTTCATAAAAACTTGCATCAATCCCCCAGAAAGGTTCCTGCTTATGACATTTCATATTACATCAGGGCTTTTACCTAACATGGGAAGCCTGGTGCACGTATGTAAATAAGTAAGAGGCTTTGCAAAGTGGAAAAGATTTAAGAGGATGTGCAGGACTCATGTTAGAAGCTGTTTAATGCAGCATCTGCTTACTGGGACAGCTGACTCACCACAGCCATCTTCCTCTCATGCCGTCCGTTACTAGCTGTAAAACAGATCCTGCTCTGCTTCCAGTCATGTTAGCAGCCAAGCAGCAACTGCCAAGGGCTGCACAGAGAGACATGCATGATGAAATATGACATCTGACTCTGCTGCCTTTGCAGAGCGTCTCGCGTCATGGGGGCTTCATGCAGCGTCCCGAGGGGCTGCAGCGTTCAGCTCTATGTGCCAGTTGTAATCTGTGGGAGACATGAGCTGGTAAATGTAGACGGGAGTTCATTAAATCCCTCATCTCCGTACCGGAATGTCATCCGGAGCCCGTCGGTGGGCAATAGCTGACGTTAACAGGTGGACTAATGTCAAACAAGCCAGGCATTGCTTTGGGTTTCTTGATGCATGTTGCAGGAGGCCTGTGCTCCCCTCACTAACTATGACCATGGGAAATTATTAAGAATACTTCACTGGTTTCCAACTGATTAATGGAGATGGAGATTTAATTTGGCAAATAATAAAATAGAAACGTTAAAGAAAAATCTTTTTAATTTTAGTCTCATTAATATTTCTAGGTCATTCATGAAATTATACACGATTAATTAGAGGCTTATTTGTCTCTAATAGGATGTTTTTTTTTACCAACTTGAATAAAATAACCCAAAGTCTGACAACTTGACTAGAATTCTAGAAAAACATTAAAATTAATATTTTCTGCTCTGACATTAGTTGCTCCGCATTAATAGAAAACAACCCAAACTCAAGCTAAGCTCTGAAAAAAATAGTTCTTCCATCCATTACAGGTTTACAGTTGCTTTAAAAACTCCCCATGATTCAAATGCTTCTAAACACACCTTAAGGAATGATGCTTTGGATGACTTTGACTAGGCCGTTTGGACCTTTTCTAACCAACAGCCTCATCACTGACTCTAAAATCCCTTGGTATACAGAGGAAGTTATGTTTTACTAAAAGGCTGCAATACCGGACCAAATTATCATCATCGTCAGCTCTCCGCCGGTGCTCCGAAGTTTTTTTACATGAGGTCTTTTTTAGCTCAGATGTTGTCAATAAAGTTAGAATTTTGGCTCATTTAGCTTAAGCAAACTTCAAATTTCAAAATTATTTGGAAATTGCTCCATAGGTTGCAGTGGTGGCTGGTTGAGTTAAAATAGAACGTCAAAATAGACGTACAGTATACCAAAACAAATCAAATGTATACTAAAGTATGAATGCCAACAACAAACAACATTCTAAAACATTCTGAAAAGTGCTTTAAATCAGTCTTAGTTGTTTTAATCCATGCTGGGTCAGATCCTGACGTTTGAAAAGTGAGGCAGGGAAAGCAGAATAAAGCATTAGCCTCGCTGCATGCAGTTAGCCTAGCCTTGGAGCTAAATAATTCTATAAACGTGTCAATCAGCTGCACTTTCTAACAGACGACTGTGACGTCAGTGCTGGAGGGGGTTGGTGAGCAAATAAAGTTGCTTTCAGCTTTGCGTGCAGGAGAGCTGCTCCCCAGGATGCTCCTGTATTTAGCATTGAAGAGGAGCTACTGCGCTGGAAAATGTTTAACCAGAGTCTATGGGGGAGGATTTCTGTGCCCCAGGTCGGACACACGTCACCGATCCAACAACGGATGAAACAGCTTTACTAAGACTTAGACTTTGACAACTTTTATTGTCATTTTGTAAACACTGTGTGTATACAAAATGACAATGAAAGTAAAAAAATAAAAAATAAAAAAAACAGAAATTCTGTTTTGTACAGCTTTCTACGGAAGAGGATTAAGGCCACTGGAAAAAAAAAAATTAACTGATTTTTACATTTTATTTCAGTTTAGTATGGGGAAAAAAGAATTCTGGGAAAAAACTCAGAATTCTGACTTTAATCTCAGAATTCTGACTGAATTCTGAGATTAAAGTCAGAATTCTGAGAAAAAAGTCAGAATTCTGACTTTAATCTCAGAATTCTGACTGAATTCTGACAATAAAAAAGTCCTTTAATCTCAGAATTCTTTTTTCTCAGAATTCTGACTTTTTTTATTGTCTGAAGTCAGTCAGAATTCTGAGATTANAAACCCAGGTTTAAAGCCTTGCAGGGCAGCCTAAAGCCCACTGCCAACATTAAGACAGAAAAAAGAAAGAAAACAGTCAGTTCATGTGTTTTATAAAAAAAAAAGTGAGTCAGGAAATAGCCTATATTCCAAACTGAAAGATTGTTTTTCTCTACTTCAAAAAAACACTTTAAATTTTAAAATGGAAAAATGTTCTATTTTTATTTAAAAATTCAATATATAACATGGATTCTGTAAATTCTGTTAAAAGTAGAGTTGCACCGATACCAGTATCGTTCGGGGCCCCGATCCAGCACTAAAATGGTGGTATCGGTATCGGCGATCACGCTGTGCGGTTCTGATGTGCTTTACAAAAGCAAACAACGTCATCAGCATAGAGCATTTTGCGAAAAAGATAGAGGGGAGTCTATAAAAGGGACAAAAATGCCAAAAACACTTCCAAGTTGGTTCTAAAGTGGATTAAGATTAGTGTTGCATAGATACCAGTATCGGGCGGGGCCCCGATCCATCACTAAAATGGTTTTATCATTAACGGCAAGTACTAAAAGATAGGGCACCAATACTATTTTGAGGGCCAAAAGTTTATTCAACTATTGTCAACCATTCCAGGTAAAAAGTTCTACTGGATTCACTTTGTTTTAGTCTTTTTCCTGCTTCACAAAGGTAGGCAGCAGCTTGACAAAACCATGATGGCAATTATTTTACATCCAAGTAGTAGCCTATACAGTTCTTCATATATATACACACATCAATTTCAAACCGATAGTATCGGTATAGGCCGATAGTGCACAGCCAGGTATCGGTTATCGGTAATCGGTATCAGGGCCAAAAAATGGCATCAGCACAACACTAGTTTAAAGTAATAAATTATAATTTAAAATGTCTCCGGACTTTTACTAGTTGTTAATTTTCTTTATTTACTAGTTGTTGATTTGAAATTGGTTACCCCTGACTTAAGGTAATAATCATTACAGATACCGTATTCTCTGGACTATAAGCCGCCATTTTTTTCCATGCTTTGAACCACGCAGCCTATGAGAAGGTGCAGCTTTTCTGTGGATTTTTCCTAACCGCAGGAAAGGATACGTTGGAAATGAAAGAATAAGGGGCTAATTTTCATTTAGCACAAGAACGGGCTAGCAGCAGGTTCTACAGAGAACAAATGTCCCAAATTCACACATTTTCACATTTATTTGCCGCATTAAAGCTGCCGAACCAATGAAGAAACTGAGCTCTACTCCTGCAGAGCTGAAATAAAGAGCTGATGAAGCCCCATCTTTAGGTAGAAGCTAACTGCTGAAAGCTAACAAGCTAACAGGAGTTAGCATTCTTCTTCATCCCTACTCCAGGGGCTATAATGTGGAGCTCCCCCTACAGGTTTAGTGGGAAACAGTTCAGTAGATATCAGCGGCTTATAGCCCGGTGCGGCTTATATATGCAAGTTTTAATTTTTTTCAAAAAATTTTGTTTTATATATAATCTGGAAAATACGGTAATTGTTCTTGACACATTTCTTTGTTGGTTTTTTTTCCTTCACTGATTGAGATGTGGTTCTGACTTCAGGTGGATGGACGACAGCATCGTGCAAGACATCACGCCGCGCCTCATCAGCGACAGGCCCAACACGTACACCTACACCAAAGCCCTGGCTGAGAACGTGGTGCAGCAGGAGCAGGACAAGCTCCACATCGGCATCATCAGACCCTCCATAGTGGGAGCCAGCTGGCAGGAGCCTTTCCCTGTACGTCCACTGAATGCTGCCCTCTTTTTCTGCCTCCAACAGCAAAACCAGCTATTATATGACACTGTGCAGTAAAACATGCAGTGTTTGCAGCAGGGAGGAAATCAAGGTCTGCTCAATTTTAGAAAAATGTCACATTGAAAGGAGATTTTCCTGAATTTGAATCAAAGGAGCTCATGTTCTATTCATAGATGCTGGTCTAAGCTGAAAAATGAAAGTAAAAAGAGTAAAACTAAGAATCTTACACTGTTTTCTTTAAATAATTGCATCAAATTTTAAATACTAAGCTTCTGCTTTTTATTATTTCAAAATCCTGAACTTTAAAAT